CGGACAATGTTTGAATGTTCTGGCTTAATGACACTTTTGTACATTTGAAACCGCCCAAAAGCAATGGCTGGTTCGATGTAAAAACAGTCGAAATTCCCGATGAAAATAGATTTTGCGTATGCTGTGAACTTCCTCTTAGATTACAATCCAACACCTTTGTTGGCTCCCATGAGAAAATGTTTGCTGATCGTAGCAAAAGTTTAAAACGATCAGTTTTTAGGTCCTTTTGGCCACATGTTAAGCGAAATATTTCTTCATAATCTTCTGGATCTGTAAAAAGTCTAGGATACTTATTAATGAATTTAATAAAGTCTTTGCCGTCAATTGAACCGTAACGGATTTCATAGAGTGAATTCTTCAGGTAACTCCGTATATTTTTTGTTTGAGCCGCATCCGAACCATTTCGTTCGCATGCATTTCGAGACCAATCTAAGCAAGCCTCCAGTATGGATATTTCAAAACATGTAAGTGACTCCAACTTCACAATGCGTTCTAATATATTGTACTCGCACGTAAGAAATCCTTTGGTTTTGAACACTGTTTCCGGGCAAGCGCTGATTTTTCGCTCACAAAACTGTTTCAAGCTGTCGATATTATAGTGAATTGACCAATTATATGCCCAACAGATGTCTTCAATGGTCAAATGTTGCTCCATGTACTTGCCACACACTTCTAAACATTCAAACATTTGATACTCGTCCAACAGGCCCATCACTTCAGTGATGTTTTCCATTTTTAAGTTCACCTTTCCCTTGTAACAGAATTGCAGAAAGTCCTTCATTGCTTCGGGCGATGTCGACGGTAATTTTATGTCAGTTTCGTTGAATTTTTCGAGCTCTTCAGCGTTTCTTTCACCTTTTTCTACCTCTGCTTCTTCTTCTTTTGACTTGTGGTACTCTTCACGTAATTCTTCAGTTACATTTTCGATTTTCCGTTGATTTTTCTCACAAAATCGCAAAAAATCCGAAATTATATCATTTTTCCACCTTTTTTCTTCATCTCTTTTAGCTTTCTTAGCCATTTCACCATGTAACATGCTATGAAAAACATCACTTGCTCTGGATAATACACTTTTATGCGCTGCAATACGTTCGCGTTCCGGTCCACATTGAAAATACACATCGGCCGTTGCTTCGTCCAAATACTGTTTTTCAGCCACTTTCAACGCATAATTGCTCATCTGAACATTTCTGGAGTTTGACGAATCGGACTCAGCTTCATTGTCCATTTTTTTACGTTTTGCTGATGATTGTTGTTGTGATTCTTCTACAAAAATAACTTCCATGATGATCGTTCTTGTAAATTCACACAATTTCGATTTTTTTCGGTAAATTCTTCACTTTCGAAATAACGTTCAAAGTCGTTTTTAATGAAAGTCACTTTTAATTGAAAACCCGTGGAAATAACTAAAAACTTGTGCGATTGTTGTTGAAAGTTCGATGAAGAGTTTCAGAATAATGAACGATGCCAAATGTAATCGGCTTATATATTCCTAATAGCTTCTGCTAATGAGAGTTGAACTGACATTTAGTACAGAAACCGTTACACACATTTATGGGTGAGTTCAAAAGGAGAGTAAGTATTTTCGGGTAAGTACTTTTTTTCGATTTATCTTGTGAATATCTATCTATATATAAGAAAATAATTTAGTTCAATATATTCAAGCGGTTGACAACAAGCGTACTAATTTTTTTCATTTTTATTTTGTTTTATAATGTAAAGTCAGTCGAACATATCCATCTATTGAGCTCATCCATATCTTAACCATATATGCGAAGAAATAGGTTGCATTTCAAACGCAGTGGAACTACAATTCTGTACAAGTACACACATGCTTTAATATTTATTGTGTTCCTGAATCGTTGCATATGCAATTGTGTGTTATACTTACCGTCTCCTTCGTAATTAGGAAATGGCTTAAGCGATGCGTACTTATATCAGCCTAAGTATTTGTGTTCTGTTATCAACTCATTTGCATAAGGAATGATTCACATTAAATGTTCTACTGATGATGCTACTTTTTTAATTAGATGAAATGCCACGTAAATAAACGCATTTTCATAGAAATGAAAACTACTGAAATGATTTTTCATTCGTAAATGGGTTTTATTGATTTTTGTGAAAAAATAAAAAAATGCAACCATAAAAAAAATACACGCTTTTGGCAAAATGATCAGAGATTTGTGAATAAAAAGCAATAAATTCCCATCACTGTTGCTATCGGCTTTTTTGGTAAAAAATATTCATTCCCGCCCAAGTTCATCAAACTGCCGCGTGCAGTTATTATAGTCAACCGTATAGTTAACCTTCGGACCTTCAATGTAAAACATATTTGAATTGTCCCAAAGTACAGATAAATCCCGTGTATCATCTCCACTTGTATTGTTTTTTACATTGAAGGGCGTTGCACGCACCTTAACATTCACAATACAAACTCAATGCGAGTGGAGACGCCTCATGAAAAATGGCACAGATTGCTAGTGCTAAGGTTTATCCGTACTTTTATTTAATTATTCTTTTGAATTGGGTAAATAAATGTTTAATATTGGATTATTATAATGTAGGAGTGCGTAGTGGTGCTAATACAGAAACAAATTAATTTTCTTTAGCAATAATTTGCTTGAATGATTTCAAAAATAGAGCAGCTGATGGACGTTCAATCGCATATTTTGACAAAGCTGTTGTCAATAAACGTTTTTTGTCTGTCGAAATCTCGATTTCTTTCATCGTGGGCATTTCACCAGCCGAGATGGCTTTGCGAATCTGATGAATATTTTTACAATCGTTGAATGGTTCTTTTTCAGTTAAGAGTTCAACCGATGTTAATGCCAACGAATAAACGTCGACCAGTTTCAGTTCTTCAATTGTTAATCGTTCCCCTTCAATAACTTCTTTCGGACAATATTTTTCTGTACCAACAAAACCAAAATCTTTAGTTGAAGCATTTGTTTCCATCTCATCTTTCAACGCCAAACCAAAATCAGCCAACTTACAACGACTCTTATCATCAAACAACATGATATTTTTGCTTTTTATATCACGATGCACCATATTTTTCGAATGAATGTATTGTAATGCCGTAAAAGAATCACAAATCAATTGATTCTTGGTTATTTCATCGAACTGATGCACTTCTGAATAATATAAATTATCATAAAGTGAACCATCTGGTAAAAATTCCATTACCAACGCCAAGTTAGGTGTTACCATGCACGCACCGTAGAATTTAACAATATTTGGATGTTCCAATCCAGAAATACCACGAACTTCATCATCAAATTGCTTCTTCCGTGTTTGAGTCACACGTTGTACACGTAGCTTTTTAACTGCAACTTGTTGACCTTTCCAAAAAGCAATATGAACGTCACCAAAACCACCGCCACCAATTTTTTCGCCCAATTCTAAATCATCAAATGGAATGTTCTGTTCGGGTTTCAATTCAACTTTATTGTCCTTTTTGGCAATTGCATCGCGTCTGGCTTGCTGTAAATTACGCAAGTTCTCGATTTCTTCGAGAACATCATCTTGGAGGGTTTCATATATTTCTTTCATATCTTTGTCCTGATATGGGCAGATATTCACGTTCAAATCAAATACATTCGGATTGCATTTTACTTTGGAAACTGGCATACTGCCCAGTGGTTTTCCGACACGTCCCAATCGACGGTTCAATGCATTATCAACGTATGTTTTTGTAACAGCATTTCCAACCTTTGACACGGCGCTAGTTTTGGATTTGGAATCAATCGCTGATCCAAGTGGTTTCCCCACGCGTCCCAATCTTCGATTATATGCATTGTCAACGTATGTTCTTGCCGTGTTTGAAAAAGTTTTCTCTGATTTGGAATGAGGAGCTGTGCCTCTTTCAAGTCCCACACGTCCCAATCGCCGATTCAGTTCGTTATTAACGTATGTAGATGGTGAAGAATATGAACTTTGGCTGCTCTTTGAATGAATGGCCGATCCAAGTGGTAGACCAACTCGGCCAAGACTTTGATTCATGGCATTATCAACATAAACGCGCGATGACGATGATGAAGAATAGTTGGAATTACCAGAGCTTGAGTGTACTGCTGTACCATGCGCCATTCCGACTCGGCCAAGGCTTCGATTCATGGCATTATCAACGTAATGACGTGGCATTTCGAATAGATGTATGCTATACTACTTATTGCTCTGTTCACTGCCAAATTACGACTTATAGGAATACAGCATACAGCAAAGAATGACTCGCCTGAAAGAAAAAATATTTCAAGTTTTTTCAATTAGTTTGTTATTTTTACTTTTTATTGAAGGATCTGTCAATTTTAAATGAGTTCATGTATTTCAACACGAGTGCGCGACGATTTCAAACGCTCTCATTGGTCTCTCGAGCCGGCGAGCGAGAGATCCGCTATTATTTGGATGCAACATATTGATATATGTATATTGGCTTTTGATATTGTTTGGAACTACAATCCAAATGACAACAGAAAAAGAAAGAAATTTAAAGGGAAAGGCGAAAACATATGTAAACTTGATGATTGATTTCAATGGAAAGAAAAACATCATCAAAATGCATATTGTTTAGAATTTTTGTTGTGAACCACAGTAGATAAAAATAGAAATAAAAGCAGCATATCACGGAGTGAGATGTCATTCCGTGAAGAATCACTCAAACTTAAATCACTCAGAGCGAAAGTTACGACAAACAAGATATCAAACGATAATTCATTGAACATTAGAAATCGTGGAATTCGGTGACTAAGCACGGTTATAACATATCTCTTATGATTCTCACGGAAAATGTGTCTTTGATTTGTGTCCAACTGAAATGATAAACTATTATCAACAATGTTATCAAGTGAATGTTTTACAGGACCTCGAGAAATGCAACTTTGTCGAAGACACCAAACCGTTACTTCTAATCAGTTCGCGACTAATTATCAAATTTCTAGGTTTTTCACTCTACACCTCATACGCACAGCGATAAATATGTGTGAGAGAGGAGTAACGTTCACGCATATTCATAAATCCAATGTATACGCTATCTCACCGCTCAATGAATACATTTGTTGCTATTGCATTCAAACGAATATCAATGTTTGCATGAAAAATGAAGATTTTTAATGTCGATTTTTGTATGGGATTGCTTAGCAGCAAGAATTAAATTTGTTTTGGCTAAAAGGCAAGCATATCGTGATTCGTACAGACTACAGAGACGCAGTAGAGTAGATATCATCACAAAACTCTCATGCACACAATCATTACATATACAGCCATCGCAACCAACTTATACACAGAACCGAATCCCAAACACGTGCGCAAGATTTGTGTATCCGGAAGTTGTATGTGCTGTCTACAGTACACTGCGTCACTGTACGAATCACGATATGCTTGCCTTTTAAGCGATGTATATTTAATACTTGTTGCTATGCAGTGTAAACGCTCAGCCCTTCGCAATTATCGTACTTTTCCTATGCACTTTGTGCGGACAAGTAATATAACAAAATGAACAGTGGTCAGCTAATGAATAGAATTTTGAAAAAACGTACTTACGTTTTGTGAATGTTTAATGTCAATTTTCTTATTAAAGACAATTTAGATTTTCGTTGTAAGACTCAAATAGAAATGTTGATCACCCCGAAATTCTGAACTGACAACTGCAATGTTTGATATTGGAATAGTTTCAAGCAATTAATAGTTATTTCACTACACTGGCGATAAATAATTTCTCTGTAATTGATGGTTTTTTACACTCTGAATCGATTTGATCGTGTTATCTTATCATGTTATAATTGAAAAGTGCAGGTTTTATAACAATAACTGCAACAAAAAAATGGAAGATATATGATATTTACTTTATTCCACGAAAGACGAATCGAAAATGACTTGACTACCCATAGATTTGCTATACGGAGATTTACAGTCCGCTATGGAGTGTGTGTGCATAGTTTAATGTACATCATTAGCAAAAGCAGTGTAACATTATGTACTACTCTCGCTCCAACACATACCGCTATGTATATAATAAGGACATAGACGGGCATATAGATATAGCCAACACTCAACATACACACACACACACACACTCGTTCGCATGCTATTACGACTGAGTGTGCTACTGTGTTCTCTTTTCTGACACAAACAAATTCTAATAAATTTGAATAAATTACTTTATGAGAAGTTAGTGAAGAGCGATATGTGACGTCGTATGGTTGCATAGATGTATGTGTAATTACTTAAAAAATTCGGATGTTTTAGCACCAACAAATCCTATTAGATCGAAAAACTAGTCGGATTACTTCATTTCGCATTCAAAACTAATCTAACACATGCATGAATCATATTAGTCAAAGAGTGGAGTTTTTCTCTCCCGTTTGAAAGACTGACGTTAGGCGCTCTGTAGCGATTTACTTACAAAGTCTGTTCTCACCTTAAAAACTACAGAAATAATATTTACTTTTTGAATGATATGTATTCTTGTGAATAATTGGAATAAATACGATTTTTCAAAAACAATACACGTTTATTTCTTGAATGAAAATAAATCAAACTTTTGTTTTTTTACAAATGGCATTAATAAAATCGAGACAAAAAAGAATGAAATCCGTTGAATGAATTATAGTTCAAATGTAAAAGATCAGAATATTTTATCAGTTTTCTTCAATAATTCAAACAAGTTTTTAAGAAAAAAAATACCTTTTTTCACAACGCATTGAAATAAGACCGCTTAATGACTTAACTAACATCCCAAGTTCATCTGTATCAAGCGTGACGATCATTTTTATCGCCCAATTTGAGTTCAGCTTCTTCTTCTTTCGTATGATATATCATATATTCAATACGATTTTCCATTTTAATATGAATTCGATAGCTGTATTCAGGATTTATAACGATTGGTTCCCCATTTAAATCAACAAATATTTCCGACTTCGAGTTTTTCCTCGTAGAAATTCTTTCGTATGATTTTCAAACTTCTCAATGATGGTTATAAAAACGGTCTCCCATGGATTTGGGTTGTTTTTCGTTTCAAGAATCTTTTTGCAATCGAAACCACCCAAAAGTAGAGGTTGATTTGATGTAAGTGTAATTGTGTTTTGTGATGTGTAGGGCTGATTAAAATATTTTGAGAGGTTTCGCTAATAATAAATATTATTTTTTTTTTTAAATATTTCTGCATTTTTGGAAGATTTTCTTCTTAATTCAACGACAAATCTATAAGAAAACAGATTGAAAATAGATTTCGTATCACAAAATTCGCTC